AGAATAGGCAGGAGGGCAGGGAAGAGGCGGAGAATACAAGCCAGCAGACCACAGGCGCCGAGGGGGAGTGGAGGGCCAGCCTCGGCCAGCCTCGTTTCACCTCTATTTCACGCCGCAGCCAAAAGCACATTCGTATTCAACTCTCCCGGACGATTAGAAGCTGATTGTCCAACAACCCTGCGCTCAAAATGTTACTTTTAACTCACCTCCTCTCTACTAGAAGGCAAATAGTTGTTGATTCAAGGCCATGTCAATCAGCTGAGCGAGTAAACACAGAAGTAAACATGTCACTGTTGCCAAATTGACGGGCGAAATGTGGCACCGCTGTAACGCTCGCTTTCCCCGCCACATTCAACCCTCTCTTCCTCTTCCCCCCCCCTCTCTCTTTCTTTTTATTTTTTTCTCTCCTCTCCTTTCCCGTATGTAACACTCGCTTTCCCCGCCACATTCAGCCTTTTGACCCACTTCCTCTTCCCCCTCCCTCTTTCTTTCTTTCTTTTTATCTTATTTCTCTCTCCTCCTTCCCCCGTCTCTCTTTCTTTCTTTCCCCTCACACTCCTCTCTCTATCGCTAAGATCACCAATAACCTCAAATCCTCAAGAAAGCCTGTGGCATTTAAAACCGTAGACACTGGTTCGAGTTTCAAAGGGAGACTAGAATGCTGAAGTTATTTATTTATCCATTTCCTTTTTTACAATATATAAATATATACCTCTCTCTTCTTCCACCCCCGTCTCTTCCTCTTTATCATTCCCCTTCTCCTCTCTTTTAATAAAGATAGTAATAATGATAATTAGGAAAATAATGATAGTAATAATAATAACAACAACAACAACAACAACAGTAATAACAATAATGATGACAGTAATAATAATAATGATGATAGTGATAATGATAATGATAATCATCATTATCATTATTTTATCATTGTCATTATCATTATTTTAATCAATACTATCATCATTATTATTACTATTATTACTATTAATATTATTAGCACTGTGATGATGGTGAAATAATAATAATAATGATGACAACGATAATAATGATACTAATAAAAAATGATAATGATAATACTATTGAATAACAATATTGATAATAATACTGATAATAATAATGATGATAATAATAATAATAATAATAATAGTAGTAGTAGTAGTAATAATAATAATAGTAGCAGTAGTAGTAGTAGTAGTAGTAGTAGTAGTAGTAGTAGTAGTAGTAGTAGTAATAATAGTAATAATAATAATAATAATAGTAATAATAATAATAATAATAGTAATAATAATAATAACAATAACAATAATAACAATGATAATAATGATAATGGTAATAACAATTACAATAATAAAAATTAGTGATAATAATAATAATAATGATAATAATGATAACAACAATAATAATATGTATATGCGTGCTTACGTGTGTGTATATGTAAATGCATATATATATATATATATATATATATATATATATATATATATATATATATATATATATATATATATATATATATATATGTACACACACACACACACACACACACACACACACACACACACACACACACACACACACACAAACACACACACACACACATACATACCTTATTGAGAAATTTCAATCAATGTTTGTTCAGGACCCATCCTTTGAAATGGCAAGTAGCTAGACAGACGTAACTCAGAATATCGAAAATATTACACTCGTAAAGAATGAAATAAAAGACCTACTGAAAGGGTTAGACAAGACTAAAGCAGAAGGACCAGATGAGATATCTAACTGGGTTCTGAGGGAATGTGCCGAAGAATTATGCACTCCGTTTTTGTTCATATTAAAAAAAAAGTAATTGAGACAAGGAAAACTACTAAGATTGGAAACTTTATACAAAAACGGCGACAAACAAAGCCCTCTAAACTACAGACCAGATTCACTAATTAGTGTAGTATGCAAGTTGTTAGAAAAAAAAAATCAGGAAACACGATATGATATCAAATAAACAATTTGGTTTTAGGGAAGGAAGGTCATGTGTAGCAAATCTCTGTATCTATGATAGAGTTTTAAAATATTACAAGAAAGACAACTGGGTGGATTGAGTATACTTAGACTTTAAGAAGGCATTTGATAAGGTGTCTCATAAAGGACTATTATGGAAATAAGAACACCTAGGTGAAATGAAAGGCAAACTTTACATGGCGACAAGTAACTAGTACCTCAAGGATCAGTCTTGGCGCCGATTATGTTTTCTATTTCCATAAATGATTTAGGGTCAAACATAAACCCAGGTAGTTAACTGAATATGTTTGTACACGACGCGACCTAAAAAGAAAAAAAAAAGAAAAAAAAAAGAAAAAAAAAATCATAATATAAATGACAAGGATCATAAAATGCTATGGCTGATTGCCAACATGAAGAGGGCATTCGTGTATGTGGACGAAGACACAGTAAAGAAGGTTGTTACTGCCATCATAAGACCTAGTCTTGAGTATGGTGCAGTGGTATGGAGTCCACGCTTAAAAAATTATATAGTAAACACAGTAGAAAGAGTTCAGAGAGCAGCCACAAGATGGGCACCTATTCTAAGAGATATGAGATACAAAGAAAGACTACAGAAAATAGGTCTTACTACGTTGGAAGAAATAAGAAAAAGAGGTGACATGATAATGGTGTTCAATTATATCACAGGAAGGGTGAAGTAGACAACACACACACACACATACATACCTTATTGAGAAATTTCAATCAATGTTTGTTCAGGACCCATCCTTTGAAATGGCAAGTAGCTAGACAGACGTAACTCAGAATATCGAAAATATTACACTCGTAAAGAATGAAATAAAAGACCTACTGAAAGGGTTAGACAAGACTAAAGCAAAAGGACCAGATGAGATATCTAACTGGGTTCTGAGGGAATGTGCCGAAGAATTATGCACTCCGTTTTTGTTCATATTAAAAAAAAGTAATTGAGACAAGGAAAACTACTAAGATTGGAAACTTTATACAAAAACGGCGACAAACAAAGCCCTCTAAACTACAGACCAGATTCACTAATTAGTGTAGTATGCAAGTTGTTAGAAAAAAAATCAGGAAACACGATATGATATCAAATAAACAATTTGGTTTTAGGGAAGGAAGGTCATGTGTAGCAAATCTCTGTATCTATGATAGAGTTTTAAAATATTACAAGAAAGAGACAACTGGGTGGATTGAGTATACTTAGACTTTAAGAAGGCATTTGATAAGGTGTCTCATAAAGGACTATTATGGAAATAAGAACACCTAGGTGAAATGAAAGGCAAACTCCTCGAGTGGATGGAAGACTTTCTTCATGAAAAACAAATGAAGACCGTAATTAGAGGGAAGCACTTTACATGGCGACAAGTAACTAGTACCTCAAGGATCAGTCTTGGCGCCGATTATGTTTTCTATTTCCATAAATGATTTAGGGTCAAACATAAACCCAGGTAGTTAACTGAATATGTTTGTACACGACGCGACCTAAAAAGAAAAAAAAAAAAGAAAAAAAAAGAAAAAAGAAAAAAAATCATAATATAAATGACAAGGATCATAAAATGCTATGGCTGATTGCCAACATGAAGAGGGCATTCGTGTATGTGGACGAAGACACAGTAAAGAAGGTTGTTACTGCCATCATAAGACCTAGTCTTGAGTATGGTGCAGTGGTATGGAGTCCACGCTTAAAAAAATATATAGTAAACACAGTAGAAAGAGTTCAGAGAGCAGCCACAAGATGGGCACCTATTCTAAGAGATATGAGATACAAAGAAAGACTACAGAAAATAGGTCTTACTACGTTGGAAGAAATAAGAAAAAGAGGTGACATGATAATGGTGTTCAACTATATCACAGGAAGGGTGAAGTTAGACAAAGATAACTTTATATATTCAAACACAAGAAAGACGAGAGGACACAACAAAAAAGTTGAAAGTAAAAAGAGCAGGGAAAATGTCAAGAAGTTCAGTTTTCCAAACAGAACTAATGAAACATGGAACACTTCCAAATTACGTTGTATGTGCCAAACACATGCATCAATTTAGAAAGTTATATGATACTTTAAATATATCAGACGGGACTTCTTCCGTATTGAAACAAATAGGTAAGAATACTAGGTAAGAATATATATGTACACATACACACACACACACACACACACACACACACACACACACACACACACACTATATATATATATGTATATATATGTGTGTGTGTGTGTTGTGTGTGTGTGTGTATAAATATATCATATATATATATATATATATGTATATATGTATAAATATAAATATATATATATATATATATATATATATATATATATTATATATATATATATATATATTATATATATATATATATATATGCACACACACACACACAAACATACACCCATGCACGCATACACACATACACACACACACACATATATATGTATATATATATATATTATATATATATATATATATACATATATGCGCACACACACACACACATATATATATATATATAATATATATATATATATCTATATATATATATATCTATATATATATATATAATATATATATATGTAGAGACATATATATGTATATATGTATAAATATAAATATATATACATAAATATATATTCATATATATGTATATATGTATGTACGTATATACACACATACATGTGTATCATACACACACACACACACACACAACACTATATATATATATATATATATATATATATATATATATATATATATATGTATATATATGTGTGTGTGTGTGTGTGTGTGTGTGTGTGTGTGTGTGTGTGTGTGTGTGTGTGTGTATGTGTGTGTGTGTGTGTGTGTGTGTGTATAAATATATCATATATATATATATATATATATATATATATATATATATATATATATATATATATATATGTATATATATGTGTGTGTGTGTGTGTGTATAAATATATATATATGTATATATGTATATGTATATATATA